ATGGATCACTTGGGTTGTTACCGACATCTGGTGAAAATTTCATGTCATTAGCACCTCTAGTGATATATTTACTGAGAAAAATGGTGACGTCTTCAATACTTATTTTACCCGCTGTATGTGTAAACTTAAACATTTAACTTCAGCATTTAAGATTTAACTTTTACATTTATATTTAGGATTTAATATTCACATATATTTTTAAACATTTTAAATTGACCATTTAGTAAAAATGAGCAAAATGTAAGAACAGTACAAAATAACAATAAAATGTTAGCGGAAATTTTTTAACACTCAGAAAGTGAGTTAAATAATGACAATGTTAATGATGTTTTTTTTTTTTACATTTTACACTTTAAATCATAGCTAAAATTGAAGATGAGCAACAATCTGGTTTTGTGTTTCATGTTAAAAAAAGTGTTTCTTTTCTTTTCAACTAAGCTTTTAAAACTCAACATGAATATATTGATTTGTTAAATGGACAAAGCAAAAAAAAAAAAAGGTTTAATTCCCACCACCCTTCATGACTGTTCAGACCACAGATTATTCTTCCGGTAAATCATGATGTGATGTCCTTGATTTATCTGTGATCCTTATTTCTTTATCAGCCACCATCAGCCTTATTGGGACAAAGGGAGACGAAGACTAAAAGCTTCGGTGAGGAAGAGGAGAAGCACAGAGGTGTCGACAAGTCTTCCTCGCTGCACCATCCCCCAAAGCCTCCTCTAGATTMTATGACGCTCTTCCTCCTTTTCTCACCTTCTCTACAAGTTTATCACCATCCTTTTAAAATCAAACTTTTCCTTTGGAATGACTTCACTCCCTCTGAACATCTCGTCATCCTGCCTCCATCTCAGCACACCTCGCTGTGYCTCTCCATAACTACAGCAGCCCAGCCTATAATAACATTTCATCCATCCATCAAGCAGAGCCAGCTTTGATCAATAAGCACTTTGAGTCCACTCTGCTGCGCGGCGCTGAACTTAAAATGTCTCCCCTCTGTCTCTGTCGGTACTTATCTCCCTGCTGACCCAGCTGGATTACACTCRGAGCTGGACGACGACTACAATGGGCTTCAGCACTTTGTGTGTTCTGTAAATGAAATACATGAGGAGCGATCAACGGGCTCTGACAACGCTCTTCACTTTTACAATTCATCCTAAAGCATCCACAGATGTTGTATATCTTGTGTGCATGCGGAAAGATGACTTAGGTCAAAACAAATTTTCTATCATTTGAATAGTTTTAAGCTTTTAAAATTGTAGAAAAAACAAGACGTTTACTTTCTTGTGCGATGATGACGATGTTAATCGAACCAAATTATCTTTGGTTTGCTTCTCTGTAACTTGTGGCTTTTTTTTTTTAAAGGAAATACATTTTTATAATGTTATGTTCACTGAGATATAACTCCTGTTGGAGCTCAAAACTCCTAGCTTTTGCTACTTTTTTTTCTCCACATGTAGCTTTAAGCTACTACTTGTTACTACAGTTTTTACATCTTTTTTTCTAGCGTTTGTCTCCTTGGTTCTAAGGTAGCTTTTTAGCATACCTTAAGCTAGTTTTAGCTTTTAGCCAGCCCGTAGCTCCTTTTAGCTTCGAACTGGCCTTTGCATACTTTTTGTCTACCCTTTTGCTACTTTTAGCTCTTAGCTAACCCTTTGGTGCTTTCAGCAAGCCTTAGCTACTTCTATTTTTTGCCACGTTTAGATTTAAACAAAATTTAGTTATATTTTCTGCAGCTTTTTTAAATTATTATTATTAACTATTTGTTTTATTTAAAAAAACACATTTACAAACACAAAACAAATACAATAAAATGAAAGGTAGCAGAAGAAAAAATACTTACAACATCTACCCCATTTGCAAAAAATACATTAATTTAGATTAGATTAGATTAGATTAGATTAGATTAGATTAGATTAGATTAGATTAGATTAGATTAGATTAGATTAGATTAGATTAGACACCCAAAAACTTCACCTCGCTGAATCTCTAAATGGAATATCGACAGTTTTCTTTCTATCGCTGAATATTTTATAACTATAGTTTTATCCAAATTTAATGATAATTTATTAAGTTTAAACCAAGTTTGTTTTTTTACCAATTCTGTTTCCATCATTTCCAGCATCCATTCTATATTTTTACCCAAGCAAAAAAATGTAGTGTCATCTGCAGTTAAAACCCATTTCAACAACCCTGACACATTAACCAAGTCATTCACATATAAAATAAAGAATTTTGGTCCAAGCACAGAACCCTGTGGAACCCCACATACAATATTACAAAGTTTAGCTTTTACATCATTTATTTGAACAAATTGTTTCCTGTTTGTCAAAAACTTGATACCCACTGTAGTGCTGGTCCTCTAAAACCATATTTATTTAATTTTCCAAGAAGAATACTGTGGTATCAAATACTTTCCTTAGAATATAAACACTAACACAGTATTGTTTTTGATCAACAGCAATTATTTTTAGTTAGCATATAGCTAAAATCTAACGATGGTTATATAATAGCAGCTGCATTCTGATGCGATAAGCTGTATGTTTTATATTCAATTAACATATGATCCGATTAGAAAAAATACTCGAAAAAATAATCGGTGATTAATCGATAATAAAAATAATCGTTTGCGGCAGCCCTAGTTCTTACCTAACCCTTGCTGCTTTCAGCTGCCTTTTATTACTTTTCACTTCGAATTAGCTTTTCGCTACATTTAGCTGACCTTTTGGGAGTGTTTAGTTAATTTTGTGTTTGCAATAAGACAGCTAATTAATACGAACTTTTAGCTGCTACGTTTAGCTTTTGACCAGCATCATATAGCTTTAACAACTCAGTTTCAACTTCTTCAGCACATATCAGCACTGATCGTTTACACGGCTTTTCACAGAACGTGTAACTTTTTCAATTTTAAACAAAATTAGAAAAATAAACTTAGCTGAAACATTTCTTACTTGGTTTTTAATCTTCGTCCTCAGAGCTAAAACCATCATGTCCGCCTGTGCACAGTGAGTTCGTAGTGGTTTAAATTAAATAAAACTGATTCCAAGTCAACATGATGTTGTAGGTTTTGGTGTSTGCTTCATGCTACAGAGAAACTAATCAGTGCTGGTTGTACTGAGCAGACCTGATGTATTATTTATAGCCTGTTATGTTCATCTAAATGGACATCTAAACATCATTAAACAGGAAGTTACAGTATCACTGAGGAAAAGGAAGGTTCTRCTAACGTACTCCGTCTTCTAATCTCAGGTTGTCCATCATGGCTGAAACTAAAGTTACAGCAAAACTTTGCCCGCTGTTGTTTCAAATGTTCCCCCGGAGCAACAAGAGGAACCTAAAGATTTCACCGAAGCTGTCGCTTAGAAAGCTTCACGAAGAGCTTTAAATCCTGCGGTTTCCTCTCGGTGTTGACTTAAAACCACAAAAATGCACAAACCATCGCTCCTGGGATCATTTCTGATGTTTTTTAATGCTCATCTTCTTGATGTACATAACTTTTTGAAGAAACTGAGCACTTTTTCCCCCCTCCCAGGCTGTGATCAGTGTCAGAAACATATAAAGACTTAAAAGTAAGTAAACAAGCATTGAGTTCAGGAGCAGTAAAACATGTCAGGCGTTTCGTGCCAGGGCAAGTTTTTATGAATGGACTGTTTTTCTTCTTCTTCTTCCCCCAAACTC